AGCTCTACCCAGCTCCATTTTTGCCTAGTCTGCGAGAACACCTAGTTGTGAGAATGAGGATATTTGGAAACAGACATGATTTTGGATCTCTTTAACCCAGACACTGCAATACTATATCATAGGTTGGTTCGTAATCAAAGGGATCCAGGTCAGCATCCATTGTGAAGTCACATATTACAAAGCTTGGGTGAAAAATAGCACCCCAGAGACCCTCACCACCTAAAATTTCTTCCCCTCCATGATGTACCATCATGTCATGGTCCTTGACAAGTTCCTCTTACCCTCCCATCCCTTAAAGTTGTCCAAAATAACATCTATCTGAAAGCAACGTAGCTGCTAGGAAGCTCACAAATGATGCATTTATAAACCACTTCTTTTAGCTCCTACTTTTACTGAGGATCTATAAGTATGGGGATTTTTTTTTCCTGAAATGGCCCCAGTCATCAGCAAAGCTTCTCTCCTGCCTGCCCTCACCCCCCAATTTATCTGGGTGAAGTGTTTGTCCGCACGTTATGCTTGGAGATAATTTTGGGATCTCCCTGGTTGCCCGCTCCTTCACTGGAAAAATCCCAATGTGTGGGATGCCAGAACTGTGGAATCTTGGGGGCTCTCTGAGCTTGATGTCAATGCATGTCACTAGATGTCATCTAGGCAGATGTTTCATGACCCAGCTAGCTATTAGCTACTAGCAGGGATGATGTTACCTAGTTGGGTCATGAAACTTCCGCCAGGCAACAATCAAGTTCAGAGAGCCCCAAGGACTCCACAGTTCAACCCTGAGCTACAGATAGTCTTTTCTATTGGATGCCAGAAATGCTAGCAAATCTTAGAGAGACATACAATGAAAGACAGTCTTCATGTGCATCCTTTGGCCATCTTCCCCTACACATTTGCAGAACATTTGCCTTCCAGCTCGTGAGAATTTCTCTAAACCAGTGTTTCTCAACCTTGGCAACTTTGAGGTGTGTGGACTTCAACTCCCAGAATTCCCAGAAGCTGGCTGGAGAATTCTGGAAGTTGAAGTCCACACATCTCAAAGTTGCCAAGGTTGAGAAACACTACTCTTAAGTGTACTTTAGGGGTAAATGCAGTTTCAATACATTTCAAACGGAAGGAGAAACGGAGGAAAACAAACCCAGACAACGTTCTTGGAAGGTCAAATGGGCAAGAAAAAATCAGCCACATCTTGTGTGATTTGAAAAGGACACTTTGCCCCTGAAATGAAACTGGTCATTCTAATCCTCTCCAGTATAGAAAATAACAGGACCTTACAGAAAGTCACTTTACCATGGCGACGACGGGCCCGGAGGTCATGTACTGAAGCAGGTCATGGTAAAACGGCTTCCGGCGGAGCTCGTGGTAGTGTTCAGCCAGGATCCCTTCGGTAGCCTGCAAGGAAAGGAACAGCCCTGGTGAACCAGTGACAAGGACTCCAATCACACTTCCTTTACTGGAGCAGACTGGTTGCATTTGGGCCAGAAATGGGGACCCTTTTCGTGGTTCAGTCCTGATGTCCTTCTGAGGAAGGCTGATCCACTTTGCACAACGTGGTTCCCATGGTTAACTAAACCACCGTTTGATACCACAGACAAAGCCACACGTCTTGCAAATTCAAACCATGTCTTGATTATTGATTGGGTTGACGTACCACTTTTCCATCAGAAACTCAAGGCAACATACTGTCAGCGCTTCAGGCTAGTCTACACCAGGAAACCAAAGTTACAAATGCTCATACTACTTTTATTGTAAGGTTATAGTAACAGAATCCTGCCAATCTGAATGCGCCTCTCCCTCCCTGCCTTTACATTCAACAGAACTAGGAAGGGTCAAGTCTGAGATGCTTTTTCCACTCCCATTCCTGCTCTGGACTCAGATTTCTCTTATCTGACTGTTGTCTTGGTTGTGGCTCTTCCTCCTGGCCCTCAAGGTTATTCTCCCAGCCCATTATACATACACAGTGCTCTCACCACCTATTTTTCCTCCCCTGTGAGGTAGGGTGGACAGAAAGAGATGGACTGGCTCAAAGTCCCCCAGGGAGCTTCAATGGCAGAGGGGGGACTTGGATCCTGGGTCCCCCCATTCCTAGCACCTTCACCACTCCACCACATTGGCTCCTACTAGTGAAGACTTTAAATCAGATTCTGGAAGGTATAAAAAGATCTAATCATGGAACACTGTCTGTCCCTTTCCTTTCCTTTCCCTTTCCACTTTTATGAAGCTAGATAAGGCAAAATGTTTCTTGGATTCACCCTGAAGTTTCTTCTCATTGAATCCCAAGTATAGGCACATCCTTTCTCCATCACTTTTGGTCCAGTGACATCAAAGGCTCATTCATCAAAAGTGTACGGTGGGAACCCCAACCACTGCAATAACTCCCAGGATCGTATTTTAGCTGACTCATTTCCTTGAAATGAGATGCAAAAGCAGCCTCATCATTCTGGTTTTGAATCCCAGAAAGAATCCATTTCAAATCCAATTCAGAAGTTCCTAGAGTTGTCAAATCTTGTTACTAGCTTCTGTTCCTGTGCAGAACATGGTACAATCAGCTGAATAATGTTGGGCTAATCAGCCAAATAATGTTATTTAAGGGTAAAATGTCCTTTAAATCAAATCCAGTTTTTAGGAAGCTCACAAATACGTTTGCATAATTCTCTTGGTAACCATGCAGAAGTGAGTGGCCGCTGACAATGGAGTGGGGGGTATTTTTAGATTGCTGTTTATTTTCCAGGCTCTTCAACATTTCTGGCACTTGGTGGTCTCCCATCCAAGTGTTCTTCAACCCTATTTAGCTTTTTGAGATTGGCCAAGAACAGCTGGAACCCACCACCTTCTTCAGAAAGAAAATATGCAGCATAGCTTTTATTTTGTCGAATAATCCCCGTGCCTGGGCATCTCCAAACATTTTTAAAGATGGAGAAGAGAGGATGGAAGTCAAGGAGGAAAAGTGCCTAATTCTCCGATAAGTTTTAACATTAAAAACAAAAAAAACAGAGAGCAAATTTGTCAAGCAACTGAACTCACTAAAGTGGAGTTTCACCGTCCTCAGCAGTTTCACAACCTCGGCAACTTGAAGACGTGTGGACTTCAACTCCCAGAATTCCCCAGCCAGCATGGCTGGCTGGGGAATTCTGGGAGTTGAAGTCCACACGTCTTCAAGTTGCCAAGGTTGAGAAATACTGGGTTAGAAAGTTGGCAACGCTCCCTCTTTTTCATGGAAATAGCGCCCCTGACTTCTCCCCCCCCCAGCGCAAGTGAGGGGATCCGGGGGCCAGAGCTAGATCTTTTCATTGGTGGGACTCTCATGCAAACAGGTCTCAGGTGTCCCCCAATGCTTACCTGGAGTAACTTTAGGCCGACAAGTTTGAAGCCACGTTTCTCAAAGCGTTTGATGACGTCCCCCACCAGCCTCCTCTGGACCCCGTCCGGCTTCACCGCAATCAGCGTGCGCTCCTGCAACTCAGCGACGCCTGTCAAGCAATGAAAGGTTTAATTCGGAGAACGACTGAATCTGCACCAAACAGCCTTCCTCCACCAGGTGGTCCTAATACCCCTGAAGGGGGCCAGGTGAAGGACCAAAGTCCAACCTGGGGAGACCAACCTGATTGCTGGGCAATTTTGAGTTGACAGAAGGGAGGGAATTTTCGCACGGAGCAGACTTTCCCCGTGGAACTCCCGGCCACAAGATGGCAACAAGGCGCCTGACTTGGGAGGGCGCTTTGGCGAATTCGTGGAAGACGATAGCGAGGGTTACGAGTCATTACAGCTCTTGATACCATTGGGGTTGTTATTATTTATTAAATTTAACTACGGCTCACAGAGTAAGCCACAATTGGTTGGATTCATGCACCGTGCTAAGCCGTAGCCCGCAGCACCTTGGAAGATATGATTATTTATGTAGGGATATGGTTTTCATTGTATTTTTTTTTACTATTTTTACTGTATTTTAATTAATATTTATTTCTGGCTTTTACTGTAAACCGCCCAGAGTCACTTCCTAGTGAGATGGGTGGTGACCACATTTGAAATATAAATAAATAAATAACCCACGGTTCATGAACCCTGGTGATGGGGTTCACACATGCTAAGTCATGAAGGGACAAGCCACACTCATGATCTACCTGCAGTTAGTTAGTTAGTTAGTTAGTTCATTCATTCATTCATTTTTATATAGTTTCCTGCTACTGGCAATTTGGTTCCAGGAAGAAGAGCTAGATTGGCCTTTGGGGTGATCCAGCACAGCTGTTTTTCAGCCTTTGTGGCCTCTTTAGTTTAACAGGCATTTGCTTCTACAAAAAGTTGAATGTCAGTGCCTACACAAGTAAACAAGACGCTAGACCTCAGCGTCATTGGCCAAAGCAGGGTTGCTTCTCTGTAAAGAAAAGAGCAAGAGATTTGGAAGTTGACCTGCTTCCCGGCCTTGACCCCAACTCTAGAGGAAAGCTATCTGATTCAGCAGGAGTTTCCCAGGCGTCGCTTTCTCACCCCTCCCCTGCCTTCCTGGCTCTCCGCACCCATCTCCTCGTCTGCCTAAGAAGAGGACTGCTTAGCCTCACAACCCCTGAGCTTCAGGGGGCTGTAAGAAGCGTGCTTGCTTTTGGAAATCCCGGGAATCAAATTGCCAATAATTAAATCCAGCCAATCCCACTGAAGTGCTCTCTTGAGTTTCCGAGGTCAGCAACAGCAGGCTCGACACGTTCCAAACACGCTGCCCGACCCCGAAGGCCTCCTGGTGATTAATTTGCTGTTCGGCAGTTGCCTGCAAAGACACCTGGCATGGCGAAATTGTGTCTCTCTGCAAGAAATGGGGCCACCCAGGCTTTGTGATCCAAGCCACGCGTGTGTGTGCACACACACATGTGCAATGCCCTAGAGAGGTGCACCTGTTTCTATAGCTACTGTTCCAGATCAGCACATGGCAAACTGTCTGGAAAAAAAGTCCCAAGTGCTGGAGCACATCAGCGCTTCAAGGAAGGAGGGTCAGATTCAGCCCTGGAGCTTGCAGGTGGGGTGTTGGGTGATGCAGAGTGTTGCCTGCTAGAATTCACCAATAAGACCCATTTGGGAAGGTAATGACCATGGGCTATTTATTTTATTCGAGTGAGAAGGCCACCCAGCTCCAAAATTACTCTGGGTGGCTTACCTAATTCAAGAGAAAAAAAGAAAACGTGTGTGTGTGTGTGTGTGTGTTCAGTATCAGAGGCAGAGGGCTTTGAATGCTACACTACTTCATCTTTGTTGACCCAAAGTCAAAACCAAACAGGGGGCTTAGCAGAATGTGGGAACTAAGCCACACGTGGGGCTTGCACAGCTTCAGTATCGTATGCTGGCTAAACCCGAGGGCTAGGATTTGTAATCTGTGGCCAGTGACTTAGTGTGTTGTACCAATAGAGGCGAATGTGTGTGTTGTACACATCTGGCCAAGGGTCCTTTATTCCGTGAGTCACGGTGAAGCAAGGGTGCTTTGCTGCATAAAGTCCATCTGTGTTTCATCAGAAGGTATCAGGTCTAATTTAGCCATGTTTTGGGGTTGGCTAAACTGTTACTTGTTGCTCTTTCCTTGCCTTCCCAGACAGCCACCCTAAAAACATCCTGGTTCTTCTTCTCAATCTGGAAGAGCCAACCCAAAAGTCTAGCGCTCCGTGGAAATGGAGTGCACCCCTAGAAAACACGGCTCAGAATTCTCCCTCATGAGCAAGCATCTTGAGAGCAAATGCTTTGAAGTTCTTCACAGGGTTTATCATCACCAGGGGAAGCCCCAAGAAGATATTATAGATTCGACCCCTCCTGTTGGCCTTTCCAGCCCTGCCCTTTTCAAGATTCTCCAACCTCCCCACACCTACGCGGGCAATGCTGGATTCAGTCATGCCAAAGCAGAACCCTAAACATTCATTCTTCTGCTCATCACCCAACGTGATCTATTGCATCGTTGATCAGGAACGTCTTACTGCCGGCTAGTTAGAGGCAGCCCCAGAGACCTCAAAGAACCTTAATAAGTGGGAGGAACTTTTCAACCACGTAGGATGTTCTTTTTTTGACCTTGAAGTGCCTATTCTTGAAACTCTTCTAAGGAAAAATGGCTAAAGGGTCCTTTTTTCAGAAAGTTCAATATTATTACTTTGTGGGCTAACTCATGCATGTTGCCACAGATGCAATTTTGCTCATGGATGCCACCATCTTTGAGTTAATGTCAATGCTCCTTAGTGAATAGTTGGGATCATTTGTTTGTGGACATTTAAACATTCACACAATTATCACACTTAACGTTTCTTGCAGTTCATCTGTCTCACTTTTCTCTCTGTGCCAACCTGGGCTTGTCTAAAAGCTAAGCAAAATCAGACATTCTTGGAGATTCTAAGGACGCTAAGGCACCAGACGTTGACCTTGATCCAAAGGAGACACACCAGAATAAAGCAATGGCAATCCAGTTCTGTATCGTTGGCAAGAAAACTACATGGAGGGGACCATGAAATCTCTGAGTCAAGGTTGACTCGGCAACTTTACTTTTTCACCCTCTTTCACCACTCCAAAGTTATCAGTTATGAGTATCAATATAAGCTAACATCTCAAGAAGTGATGTTTAGTCAATTGCAACTTTCTTCAAGCCTTATTTTTCTAGGGCTCAGCTAGTGGGAGCTAGATGTATTTTAATAAGCAACCAATTAACAGCTTCCTTGTAGAAAGGATCATAATTCAGTAGGAGAGCAATAGGTTTGGGTAGAGAAGACCTCCGATATTAAGATTCAGGACTGACTTGATCAAAAAGGGATTGGGAGTAGTAATGACGCTTCTGCTCAGGAACTCAAGAGCAACTGCTAATCAGACTGATTGTTATTGGACAAATGGAGAATTAGTTCAGTTCACAAGCACAAAAAGTAGGATTTGTTTTAATTGAGTGTAGTTGCAACAATTGGGTTCACGCAGCTGTAATCCAAGCAGTCATATGACGACTTAACCCAAGGTGTGAACTCAGCCAACGTCTGACCTGTTATAGGGCAACCTTTTATATTTCTGTGCATTATTTTCCTGGTCTCCAATTTAAAACTCCTCAAATGTTGGTTTAAGAAGAGAGGATATAATAGCATGATTCAAGATGATTGACCACGGCAGTCTAATTCCAAGGAGCTGCCACGGCTCAATACGGTTCACAGCGCTAAAAGTTACTTGTTGGACCTGAGTGGGTTTCTCTTTAAGAGAGCTGTTCTTTCTTAGCACGTTTTAAAATTAAAATGTGAATTCTATCCGGTCTCTGCTTTATAGGGGGAAAAAACAGTTTAAGTGGTTGACCGATGCCCTCTAACAATTTTCAAGTCATCAATGAAAAAAAAAAAAGCAAACTTTGAGAACCGTTAGCCTATCCAATTCCCAAGACTTGGAAAAAACAGTGAAAAGCATAAAGCTTTACGCTCCAAACTTTTTGGCCCCTCCTTTTCCCAGTGGCATTAACTTCCTGGCAATGGTGTATAGCTCTGGAAAGCAAGTAAAAGAGAAGCTGAATATTATTTGAAAGGCAGGGAAGAGTTACCGGAAGGACAACACTGGGAAGAGCAAAGGACCAAGTTTATCCTCATATTAAGCTAAGTTGGAACTTGCTTCTTTGCAGCCAACGTGTAAACCAAAGCATTTGGGGTTTGCAAACCATGGCTCTTGGCTCAGTGTGTTCAGTAAACCCAGGCCACTTACTCAACAAGCTATGATTAAACAAACTTGGGGTTTTACGCACTCCATAAGCCCAGGCATAGGGTCCCTTTGCCTGGGAATAGTACATGGCAGGATCCAAGTTTAATAAAAGGAAATAAATTGTAGCATTGGAAAGGCAATGCAAGTATCCAAGAACACCATTAAAGAGGGGTGTTTTTAATCAGAGTGGTGTTTTTCAAACTTGGCAACTTTTAAGATGTGGACTTCAACTCCCAGAATTCCCCAGCCAGCCATGCTGGCTGGGGAATTCTGGGAGTTGAAGTCCACAGGTCTTGAAGTTGCTGAGGTTGAGAAACACTGCATTAGAGGAATAATAATATTGGCGTGATTTGTGCCTGTCTCTCAGGCAGCACCTGATTGTCCTCCTCTGGGTTGGGAAGTAGAAGGGGGGAAGGTTGGTGAGGGCTTGAATGGGAGACCATCAGGAGATCCCAGCTTTGCCAGCTAAGGCGGGGAAGTTGGCAAAAGACCCGAGGAAGCATTCACAGCCCAAAGAGCAAACTCAGTTGTCACAGCTGGGCTCCCCTTGGTCATTGCTGAAGTGGGACACCATCCACCTGGGCTGAAGCCACCCCGCATCCGATGGCCTTTTCAGATACCCAAAGGCTCGGTGGTTCTGTGTGTGTGCACACATGCCCAACTGCAACAGAGGAACCTTGAACCTGACAGGAAGGTTCATCAACCCCCTCACTAGCCCTGCAAGGTAGGCCTGTGGAGCCCCTTACTTTTCTTCAGCCTTGGTCAGCTGGGCCTGTCTCCAGAAATGTCTCGCTCCAACTTTGCCC